GGGGTTTAGAGTTGTCATGGATTTGAGGCAGGGAAATCGAGTAGGAGAAGAGTGCGGCTAGGGCTCGCGCGAACAAAGGGAGATTTGGGAGTTTAAGAGGTCTTTACACACCACAGTCCCATTGTAAGGGAGATCAAATAGAGGGTCTTCGAAGCGTCCTCGAATAGAGATTAATCACGCATTCAATCGGGTGTTTCGTAGCGATGGGAAAGACAAAAGCAGCCTCGAGGAGCTCTTGCTTTGATTGCGCCTTCGAAGCATCTTCGAGAGGCTATAACATCGTAAGTGAAGGCTCACGAGCGTCGTCTTTGGTGAGCTACTGGGTGCTCCAAAGCATTTTTGGTCATGAGCAGGAGAAATCCAAAGCTTCAGTCGTGGGCTGGAGAAAGCCGAAACTTCAAAGTTGGTGTCGCCATCTTTAGTGTAGGAACTCTAGCTCTGATACCATGTAATTTTTGGAAGAATAAAAATATAATTATTCATCTTCAATTTCCTAAGACTTGGTTACAAGATAAATAACAAGGGAATGACACTACATTTGAAAAATCAGCTACAAAATTCCCATACTAGAAAAAGAAGGTAGAAATTACCACCAATAGATAATTCTAAGAGTTGCAATTTCTAAAAATAGAAAATAATAAAAATAGAAGACACCAAAAGCAGAAATTCCTAAATTCCGAAACTCTTAAATTACAAGAGACTTCTTGATTCTCTTTTACTATTTTTAATGCATAAATACACAACATTTGCATTTTTTTTCTTTTACCATTTTTAATGCATAAATAAACTACATTTCCATGTTTTTTAGTGCGCTTACATGATTTTTAAGGTGTTGTATTTATGTCAAAGTTTGTCTAATGAAGCACATGTAAAACTTGAAATTATTTAGATTTAATTGTTTTCACAAATATTTTTCATTACAATGCCTATAATATTTTATCAAGAGTTTCTAAAGATCACATTCTACTTATTTCTGTATGTGTTTTGTGGACACGATTGTGGCTGTTACGAATAACATATTTTTAACGTGTCTTAAATGATCATAATTTTTGTTCTTATGTAATCACAATTTGCGGGAACTCTTAATGCATGATTATTTCTGTTATAAATAGGAGGGTTCTCTTCAACTTCGTATTCACTTGTTTTTCTTATTTGCTTAGGAGCGTATAAGAGAGTTTCGAGCATGATTAAAAGCAGTGAGGAGGTTCTGTGCTTTGCTTGTGATTGAGCTTTTTAGTTTTTCTTCTCATTTTTAGTTCAGCTCTGTGTTCATCATACTTTGTTCTTAATCTGCATTTTAATTTTTATCATATGATTATGTAATTTTATAGTTCATTCATATTTTTAATCTTCGTGTTGCATTTGTGCCCAAAGTTGTCTTATTTTGTTCGGGTCACCTGTTGGTGTAAATTTTGTCAGCCGCTTGGTATGACACACCCTACATTGTAAGTGACGACAGCAGTGGTGGCAGCCACCAATGGTGGTGATGATGGAGTGCGGAGGCAACAGTTGTGGCAATGGCAGGTGGTAGGTGGCGGGCAGTGTAGCGTCACATTTTTACTGTATTTAAAATTTGCACAAGTTGAATAATGTTTAAATATATTAATGCACACTTTACAACATTTTGTAGACCAAAATCTACATGGCTAGAAGTACAAAAAGAAAAAAAAACATGCTCAAAATAAAATTATTGTCTCATTTCACATTTAATAAGGCTGAATTGAAGATTAGGATTCTTACTAAAAAGGAAAATTTAAATAGAAATGACTCTTTTCCTAGGTATTTACATATTTAACACCTGAACTTCAATTTTTACATGCATACCACATTACCTATACTTGAAAATATGTATTTCACTTTTTAAAAGTTAAAATGATGGTATTTTTTGTTTGGGACGAAAGATTTGAGTGGTATAAATGTAATAGCAAAGTATAGATGTTAGATATGTAAATACTTAAGAATTGGGTGGTATTTGTGCAAATCCCCCTAATAAAAAAAATGTGCACTTGTTGCAGGATGCCTCTCTCACGGTTCAGGGCGAAATTGATGAAATCAGTGTAACTTTGATCGGATCTTTCTAAAAAATTAGGACAAAATAATTTTTTTTATTATTTCACCAAGGCTAAACAACACAATCCAAATACATAAAACATAAATACCTACAATTCGAGAGTTAGGCGATCTCTTCCAAACCCTAATGCTAAGATTCAAGACAACAACCACACATAATCTAACTCTAAACATATTAGCCACATAATTAAATTTTCCTTTCAGTCTTATTTCTGCAATGTCTTCAAACAATTTTGGCGAGCTAGCGTCGACTCAGTGGAGCACGAGGCGAACGGGGCTTTAGCACCGGTCTAACATTACTCCCCTCCCAGAAATATACCTTATTCTCAAGTTGTAAGAGAGGAAATTGGTGTTGGATTTATCTCCCAAGTGGCGTAATAATCTGACAATCCTTTTTATTTAATCAACACTTTTTTTTCACTTGTCGTCTCCTAATACTCATCTTTTAACTTAAGTGACTCCAGGAGAACTTTCATTGCATTTTTATCTTCAACTAACTGCGCTAATTCCATAGTTTCCCCCAATATTCATTGTTTCGACAGACGAAGTGCTGTTCAAATTTCTGGCCTCAACCATTTCATGAAGTTTTTTTTTCCAACATTTCTTTTGATATCCTTCTCAAATGGTTGGATAGCATATCAAATTTCTCTTTATAATTCATGACAGATATTTTCTAAACTAATGCAAAAAAAAATGATTCTGTAAATCCTCTTCTCGCATTGGTTCTGAAATGCTCCAACAATGGTTCCTTGAATTCTTCTTTTGTTTCGATTGAGTAACTTAATTCTGTCCATTGATTGCATGCTAGAGACTTCCCTTCCAAACACAAGGCTGCTGCCATTAAAATTTTTTCCTTCGTCAGTCTATTAACAACAAAGTTTATGTCCACGCGATAACCCAACCATAGACATTATCTCCTTCAAAGATCGACATCTTCAACTTCCTTATGCTCGAGTCTCCTCCCTAATTTCCTCGACTGAATTTTGATCCACTCATGAAGCGGGGGTTGGGTTTCCTTCCTTGATTCATATGTATTTCCCTCCCTCCATAAGTCCGTCTTGCCCCCATAATCGGCTCCCCTGACCCCATAGACTCTTTAATCACCTTTCTCTTGGAAGGCTGCTGTAGTAAAAGGTACTGGAGCGTTTGGATGCAACCCTCCGTCGGAGTCCCACTCAACATGGTTTCTTGTTTCACACCGAAATCCTTCGAATCAATCTTCTTCAGCCCCAAATCGCTCACTGTCTCGTTCCGCTTGTTGGTGCTTGTTCTAAACCTTCACATCTCGTGCAATTATCTCTCAATAGTGTCGTTCGAATCCACTCCCTGCTCCTTTGCTCGATACCGCTCGTTTCCGTTCGTTCCTGTAGTTCGAATATTGCTCTATTCCTTCCAAGTGTTGCTGAAGTTCATCGATTCCTTTGTTCTTTGCCGTTACTCTAGATCCATCTAATGCATCGACATTGCTCTAATTCCTCACAAATCCTTCTGATTGCTGCTACTCGCATCCGCTCCAGATGTCGTGGCTCTATCCCGGAGCTGGTGCATATGATTTAGTGTGAAACTCCATGATCTTACTCAACATTTCTTATAGGGACATGAAGATTCCCTCCATGGACGAGAATCGCTCCTCCAGGGACGAGAACTGTGCCTCCATGGTCGAGAGACGCTTTTCCATTTCAGATCTTATTTGGATCATCTCTTCTTCTAATTTCTCCTTCAAAGTTTCTACTTTTATGACCGCCATTACTTCCAAGGAGATTTTTGATCACGAAGGCAAAACTCTATACACCACAATCTTGTTGTTGGTTTCTCGGCTAGTTGGAATTGCTACTGTATCAAAAGGTTCCTTCATGAAGGCTGCGTGATTTGGATGAATGTACGCTACAATCCTACCTGCTTCCAAGCTAGGTTAAACTTGACTGATTCGTGAAGGGCGATCACGCTGGAGGCGTTTGTACGCCGCAATCCCATCGACTTCCCAGCTAGGTCGAATTGCGACTGTTTCCCATTTGGATATGTACCCTGCTCAGGTGCTAGCAACGCGGCATGCCAAGGCGGTTGCTGAAATTTTGATTGGTCGCCTCGAGTATTCTAGAATGGTGGAGTAACGGAACAAGGCTCAAATGTTTTGATACCAAATTGATAGGAACTTTGACAAAAAATTAGCGCAAAATAAAATATTTTTATTTCACTAACACCAAACAACACAACTTGAATACGTGAAAGATAACCTACAATTCGAGAAGTAGGCTCTCTCCCAACAGGTGCTAGCAACGCGGCATGCCAAGGCGGTTGCTGAAATTTTGATTGGTCGTCTCGAGTATTCTAGAATGGTGGAGTAACGGAACAAGGCTCAAATGTTTTGATACCAAATTGATAGGAACTTTGACAAAAAATTAGCGCAAAATAAAATATTTTTATTTCACTAACACCAAACAACACAACTTGAATACGTGAAAGATAACCTACAATTCGAGAAGTAGGCTCTCTCCCAAACCCTAATCTTTACACCTACAATTCGTGAGGTAGGTGATCTCTCCGAAATTCTAATCCTAAGATTCAAGATAATAATCACTCATAACCTAACTCTTAACATATTAGCTCTATTTATACCCCATAATAATAACTAACAAAGAATTAAATTGTCCTTTTAATCTTAAACCTAACATAAGTTTTCAAACTATTTTGGCGGGCTCGGCGTGTCTTAGTGGAGCAAGAGATGAATGGTGCCATTGGCGCCGGTCTAACAAACTGCTTTTTTTGTGATCAAAATTTTGTCTGTTTTTATTACCAAGCAAACATTTCATGATACTAACGTAGATGTAAAAGTCTAAATTCTGCTAATTTGTTTGGTTTAGCTTTTCCATATTATTATACATCTGGCTGTGGTGTCAAGGGGAATTAAAGCATTTGCATTCTTTTATCAGGCAAAGCGGCTATCATTGAAATTGAAACCACCAGTTATATAGAAGAATCTGGCGAAGCTCTGTGCACGAACAGGCTTGTTCAACGTTTATATCCTGTGTTTTGAATTGTTTTGTTGGGGCATTTACATACACAATTCTTATGCATTTACTTATCTAACACCTAAACTTCGATTTTTACATTTATAATATACATCTTTTTTAACTTGAAAAAGGAGCACACCTTTTCAGGCTTAGGCAAGGTGGCATATGTATATATATATATATATATATATATATATATATATTAATACATAAGAATTGAGTATATGCATGTAAATCTTCCTTTCCTGTTTTATATATGCTTATTACCTTACAGAGCGCATTTTTCTAGCAGAAGTGCACTGTATCTGCGTGGGTCTGGTGGTTTCTCAAAGCCCTCAAAGCCATATTCATATACAAACTATCCAGCCGACCAAGTTTCTTCTGTTTCAGTTCCCAAACATAAACCTTCTGTGAAATATGAGGAACAGATCCCGCAATCTCAGGTATACCGCTTTTGTGTCACTTCCTCAAGTTTCATTCCTTAATTTCTTAGGGGAATTTAAATATACACCAGCCAATTCTTATGCATTTACATTTCTAACGCCTACTTTAGTTTCTATTTTTATACCACCCAAATCTTCTATATCACATAAAAAAAAATATTATTATTTTAACTTTTAGAAAGTGAAATTGACCATTTTTATGCATAGGTAAGGTGACATACATGTGAAAATTAAAGCTTAGGTGTTAGATAGGTAAATACATAAGGATTGAGTGTTATTTCTGCAAGTTTTACAATTTTTATTGAGCAATATTCTTCTTTCCCGTTGTCATGTTTTGTTTCGGTTAGGAGAAAGAATCTTGGATATATACTGCAGATAAAATAGGTATTCAACATAAGCTTGTTCATAATTTGTGGTATGAAAATATTTGAAATAATTAGTTCTACTTTGAAAATTATTGTTGATCTTTTAAATGAAATAGATTGCAAGTTTGGTTTTAGTGGTATTTAGTTTTCGCCTACTTCAGCGCTTTATGTTGACCATAAATTTGTGTGAATAATTACTTTTTGTCAGATAACCAGTTTTTTTAGCTTAGAGTTAAGTGTTTCCCTTATTAGAATATTTTGCATAGTTAACATATTGCATGATAGACTATGTTTGAATTATTCAAAAATTTAAGGGCTTGTTTTGAATCACTTTTGTTTTTTTTAGTTTTACGTGTATTTTAAAAACATGTTTGTTTAGTACATTTTAAGTATCTTTTTTTTATTTTTAAAAAAATAATTTAGTTTGTTTTTAAAAATAGTCAAAACATCTAGAAGTTGTTTTTGAGTGTTTTTAAAAATAACTAAATATGTTATAGCAAAGTAAACATGTTGTTCGCGCCCCTTTCTTGTCTAGGTGAATGACCTTTTTAGCATCTGTCCTTTACAAATTCTTCTTTCTAGGTCACCCTTATTTGAAAAAGTAAGCGAAGAAAGGAAAATACATAAATGAATAAAAATTAAGAAGAAATAAAAGTAGTAGCTACGAAGATATTTATATAGAAAAATCATCGTAACATAAATCGGAGAAGAGCGGAATCATACCATACTTGACTCGAGGGAATGTACGAGAAAGATCTTATAAAAAGTCCTTGTAACCAAACCAGAGTACAATATCAAATTTATTTTATTATGGGTTCAAAGAGATCTCCCATGACGATGTATTCTCGTGGTCAATTACATCCTAGGGATACCCAAGAAAGCTCGCAATAAAAGTAGTTATGCTTGTTTGCTATTACTCTATACAAATAGGCCCCAAGGTGATTTTTTCCATCTAAGTAGGGGAAAACTCATGTCAATGGAGCGCCACTAGACTACGGGGTAGATGGTGAATCGCCGTAACCTGATACGTAGCTCGCTCCTTAATGAGGAGGGCTTATGAGATCGTAAGTTGCTCGCCCCTTGATGAGGGCTTATGAGATCATTGTAAGACTCAACAAAAGATTATAAAATGGGTAGCCAACAATTGGCAGGAAAAGTACTAAATAGGTAGAAATAGGGAAGCCAGAATTTCACAGATTCGTTGCCCCAGACTATCGAGACTCTATGTCTACTCGATTAGGAAGGTAGTTGATCCAACCCGACTAGGAACCACCTATCAACAACTCATGAGATGCATCATCTATGGTGGCTTAATAGCCCTAAAGTCAAAAGAAGGAGACGTCTAAGCTCCTATGACTCTATTCGGGTAGAAGAAGGTAGAGTAGGATTTATATTCGTTAAGAGTATGAGGAGTCATATAGAGTAGAAGGGTGGACGACATGAATATAAAGAGAAAACCCTCTCACGATCCTGTCTAGGTTGGGACCGACTTTAACTCCCTGAACGTGCTAGACAGACCTCCTAGGCATATAAATCATATGCTTGGCTACTTAGATTGGAAAATAAGAATACTTTCCTTAGGACATGCAATATGAATTTAATTATCTAAAACATTACAAGTGGGAAAGCCTTATTAATATGCAAAGGGGCAAAGCCATGCGGTTCTTATCATCTTAAGGGCCCATTTGAGGCAGCTTAAAACTGCGGTGGCGTTTTTGAAAACGCCGCTGTAGTGTTTGTTTCGCATGTTCGACCAGCTTTTTGAAAAACGCGGTTTCGAATTTTGGCATAATCTGGCCCGCGGTATTACCCCCACGGTTAGCGTTTCCTTCGCTGCGTTTAACCCCGAATTACTTCTGTTGCCCTTCACATAAGCTGTCGCGAATTACCCCGCTCTTTGCCTACCTCGCGATCCCTAGCCGCTCCCTGCTTCCTTCCGCTCTCTCGCTGCTTCTTCCGTCCGCAATAAGCTCCTCTCCCTGCTTCTTAGGCGTTAATCCTAGGAGGCCGGCAACTCCTCTCTTCGGCATTTATGCCCTTCCAGGTAAATCCCTTCTCTCCTCTCATCAACTTTGTGTATCGCTTCCTAGTGCAAATCTTCTTTGTCTGTGGAGTTCAATACCTTAAAGTTTTGCTGATAATCTCCTACTTTGAAGAAAATCATAAAAAGGGGCATTTACATACATACCACACAAAACTGTTGTAAATTTCAGGTTATATATATTTAGATTTTGGAAAAATGGATGAACGGGCATGCTGCGTATCCCATGCCATCCATTCTCTCCATTGCTTGGCCACTTTCGTGTGTGATTGTGGGTGCAGAATGACATCCATTGCATGGCCACTTTCGTGTGAAAGGGAGGAGTGTTGCTTGTGTTTATTAGCAATTTGCTAAAAACAAATTTTGTTTTGTAATTTGCTCATATTTCAATTAGTTGATTCTTCTATCTAGCATCTCTAGCATAATTAGTTTTAGAGATGTTCTTTGTTCTCATTTGTTTTAATGTGCAAGTGAATGGTTGTGGGTGTGATGGTGGTGATAAATGGGTTGTTTGATTTTTATGATTTCATTATTTAACATTATACTGTTTGGCAAGAACTAGAAATCAAGAGCATCATTGGTGAAAGTTGATTATAGTTTGTTGATTACACCCAAGTTTTGTATTTATACATATCATTTATATTGGTTCTTATTATTATTATTTTTTTTGGCGGAATATAAAGATATTAGTTCAACTCATGTGATTTGGACAATTTTAGTGAGAATCTTAAAAGAAAATGAGTGCCTTCATCATTGCTATCTATCTTGGATCAAACTCATGAGCTCTACAAAATCGGTCGCGAACTTTACATGAGGATCTAGTTTCATCCATTTTCATAATTACGTAATGATTAATCAAGCTGATTAAAAAATTGAAGGGAAAAAAGAAATGATCATTTATCTAGAAATATCAGCAAATCAGCTGTTTTTCAAACGCAAATACCAAATAACTACACAATTTATCCAAAACAGGGGCAGAATAGTCATTTATCCAGAAACAGCTGCAAATCAGCTGTTTTCCAAATGCACAAATCAAACAGCTAACCAACTTATCCAGATCAGCTGCTGATCAGCAGCTTATCTGGATCAGCAGCTTATCAGCATAAGCTGGATAAGCTGCAGCTGCCCCAAACAGACCCTAAATCCGACCCAAAGGCCATACAAGAAAGAAAGTATAGGAAATAAAATTGTTGATTTAAAATCTTGAAAGTTTTAATCCTAAATTTTATTAGAGTAAATATTTTAAATTTAAGATTTTATAACAAAGATTTTGTCCTAAGAGCCTAATCGTGATAGTACCCAGACAAACCACAGACTAATAAAGGCATAAGGTCAAATACTCAGTGATGAAATAAACACACTAAATAAATAATAAGAGGCCAAGCATTGTTAGGGGTCGGTTGCAATTCTAAAAATGCAGAAATATGGTCAGGCTCTTCATAAACTTGCCTGATCCTAAGTCTATACAACAAAATATAGTCTGGAATTAAGGTATGAGTCGTGAGCAAGTAGCCCCTGGTTCTTTTCATTAGGTTTTAGGAGTCAAACGTCTTGGTAGCTCGTGCTCGTATCTTATTTCTAGTAAAGACTCCTATAATCTGAAAGTATACAAGTCACAAAAAGACTAGATCTGTAAAGCAAACGTTAGCACATGCAAATGTATAATGAGCCAAATCCGGTGGGAGGGAACTAACTGATGTTTGTAAAATATGCAACATATTTTCCTATGTTTTTCTGTAGTATTTCCACTATTTATATCATATTTATGCTTTTTCCTGTGCTTTATTTATCTCTTTGTTGGTTATAAGTCTTAAGGAATAGATGGAGTGCCTTGCACACTAACACCAAAAATGACGTGTCTACGCCACATCATGGCGTGACTATGCGACATCCTGGCGTGTATACGCCTCTCCCTTTTCTCCCAGGTGATGCAAAATGTAAGGCCAACTTCTAGATGCCACCCCAAAATAAAGGCGCCATGCCTCCACCTATTAGAACAATTACAAGAGAAATGCACCAAGTGAGTGAGCGAGACTTCGATGCTCTCGGGAAAAACTTCAGTGGAGAATCGAATTAGGGAATTGTGACAATTCTCTATTTTGATTGAATCAGGGTTCTTCCGTCGCTACAAAAGAATTAATTTTGAATGAATTAGGGTTATTCCACCATTTGTTTTCTTTGAAACACTGTTATCCTTGGAGTGATGTCGAGGGGAAGAAGACAAATGCCAAGAGGGAGTGTCGGAGAACACTTGCAGCCGCCAACATGTCTCAACGGAGGGTTTCTTAAAAGAGAGTGTGCGAGTGTGTATGAGAGTTCTTCTGAGAGAGAACTAGTGTGTGATTGTACTCAAAGTGGGTGAGAAATCAAAGATCGTGTTATAAGTTCCAGTAATTCAGGGAAGAACATCAGTGAGATCGTTCCAATTTTTTTTACTTTAGATTTTGCAATGAAATTTGTGTTGTTTTCATTTGCAACGAGCATGACTTAAACTTTCTCTCCCTTGAATTGGATTTTATGAAGTTTGTGAAATATTTGTTATGTGATTACATGTTAATTTGATTGTAAGTTGATAGTTTAACCTTTTAATTTAA